CTCACCGCTCCGGCCAACCACTCTATTCCAACCCGAAACCATGGATGATGAAAAAGGAAAGTCTTAAATACATGTGCAACACTCAATTCTTATCTTTATATTTTTTCATATATGCCACCCAATTATGATATATATATATATATATATATATATATATATATATATATATTCTGCTATTTATTATAGTAAGAAAATGAACCCTAAAATTCAAAAAACTACTATTTAATTCAATTTAACTAAGCCTATGACGACAACAATAAGACTTGGAAACTAAGATTTGATAATATAGATGGGGTAAAAGACGACAATACAATTCATTTATAATTGATTTTATTATCATCAATCGGTCGGGTCTAAATGAATATTTTTTTTCTATTCTGATGAATTATTATTAAAATAACACGTTATTATTGAAAGCGACCATAAAAGTCACTTAAATAGGCCTTCAAAATGCTAATTGTTGTGGCCACAATCGAAGAGTGATGTTCGACTCATTCAATAAGGTTGCCCCATTTTTTTTTCATTAAGTTTATGTCTAGCGACCATCAGGTTATCATCCACTCTGTGTGAAAAATATAATGCAAAAATCTTTCGCTCTCTTCACTTCTTTCCTCTTGTGTTTACAATTGTAGGATGCATTACATTTAAGATTTGCATGGATTTATGGAGTGACGAATTCATCTTTTATGGCTTATAACCAACCACCACTAATTCGTAGTATCTATTGGGGTCTTTTATGTTGCTCTTCATTGAAAATTTTATCATAAAAGATTTATGTATGACTTTTTTACGGTCACCATTTAAGATTGTCAATATCTTTGCAGAATCTTTTGAAGAGAATCACTATTTCAACAAACTGTCATCCAACCGACTACTCCCGACGCCTCAACGGATAGCCATTTTCAAGCATGGAAGACTTACATAAAACTCAATTCTTATATATTTTTATATTTCACTCAATTTCTACACACTTATATACTTGCATACATCTCAACTCATTTTTTTCCAGCACTTGGGAAATTTGAACCCATGTAGAGAAAACGAAAACGACGCCAAGAGGTTAGAAGCATGAGAAAGAACCAACAACGACGTCAAGAGCGTCTGATCGATCAAAAGCATAAGAAAGAGCCGACAACGCCGCCATGCCCAAACAAATCTCCACACCCCCCACCGAAAAAGATTACTCTTTTTCTACTCAAACCATCATTGCACCTGACATCATCCTTATATACCCTATTCCAAATACCCAAACCTCAAACCCAAATCAAACAACCACTGAGACAAGTTTCAGATGTCAATCAGGAGTTTAACATGGAAGAGATACAAAAACAACTTTGTCGAGTACTACAACGACTTAATAAAATTAAGGATAACATCCAATAGGTTTACCCGAACTCCATTTAATTACAATGATGAAGTCTCTGTCAGATGATACAAAGATGAAGTGTCTATTAGAGGATACAAATGTGAAGTTTCTGATAAAGATTTCGAAGATGAAGAGTCTCTACCTCGAAGAAATGACTTAAATATCTGAGAAACCAAAATTTTGAAATAAAGATAGATTTTCCATATTTTGACTGTCATTTCGATCTGAACGAGTGGCTTCAGACCGTGAAACTTTTCTTTGAGTATCAGGACATTTCAAGGACAAAATGGTGAAACAAGCCGCCGGCTAGTTAAAGAAAAGTGCACCGTTTTTGTGGCAAAATTTGAAGTACCTACACAAACGTGAGGAAAAAGATAATATCACTACCTTGTCCGATATTAAATGAGAGATGCAATGTCAGTACCTGCTAACTTTCTACAAACCGGATATTCAAACTCCAGCTTTAAAAGTGGAGAGAACACGCCATCGGGTGACCACCACATCTTGCAGACAGATTTCAACACTAGGATCTCACAGTTAAAGTACAACCAGAGAAACTTCCAGACCGACTCCACATGAGAAGAAATTGATTCAGAGTAATGAATAAGAGGAGCAAACCAGTATTCCTAAATCTTTCTCAGCTAAGAAGTATTTCAAGTGTCACGGATTTAGGCACATTGAACCGGATTGCAAAACCAGAGGATTTATCTATTTCACGGAGCAGGGCATTGTACGAGAAAGGAGCAATGGCAATAGATACTGAAGAAGGTGAGGACGCAGAAGAAGAGTACCAACTGCCAACCAACAAGAAAAAGATGACATCAATTTCAATTGAACTCATGAGAGAGATTCCAGTTGAGTTAACAGTAGCTGTCATAGAAGATAGTGACTCTGAGGTAATGGGCGTCAATACAACATATGAGATTGTGGTGCCTCGAACTACCATTTTGTAGGCGTTGATAGGAGCATCAAAAGAACTGACATTCGATGTCCGAAAGGAACATGAGTTTGAGAAACTGATACTATACACAAAGCAACTTCAAATAAAAAGATTTCAGAATTTTCAGATATATAGGATCCTTCTTGAGTTCTTGAGTTGCTCCTGTTGAGGGAGGTCCAATATGTCAAAAATGACACATATTTGTCCCACTTTTGAAAGACTATATGGAGTCAGTTTTGTGTTAAAATTTATTCAACAGTGTACCCCCAACAAATGATCTGGCTGGAGGGATGAACTACAGCTTTGGAAATTTTCTTTAGAGCTTAATGGTGAATAAAATTCTAAAGTGGGACCAAGGTCCTTCCGGAGAAGAAGAAAAGACCTCTTTTGAGTGATTACACATTATTGCGGTCTAGCTTGTCATAAATGTCGTTTCAGAGTTAATTCCCCTTGGCATAATTGTTTATCACATACATCCAACCGAATATGAAGAGTGATAGAAGTAGATTAAAGATTTAATTACTCGGGATTTGGATCGTGAGCGTCTACGTCGTTATGCAGCTCCAGCTCAGGTTATGATAAAGTAGATGGATACTTATGTTATCAGGATATGTTTTGGAATGACTGCGCCTACAAAATTCACTTATGGGAAGCTTGCAACATTTATGCTACATTTCAAAGGGGTCAACTGACTACTATGAGAAAATTGAAGCTTCGACAAATGAGGTCAAAGCTCCCCATGGGAAACTGACAAAGGAGCTCCCACAAATCTTTTCGCGATCTCTACCATAGTTCTATGAGGCCGCGACCTATAATACAGCCTTGCAAACTGGACCGAACACGACAGAGCTTCTAGCAACCTGGGAATGGTCAGAAAATTGAATTAAGGGGGTCGCTCAACCTTTCTGATGAGGATTTAGCACCTCCTTTCAATAGTAGGCCCAATCCTAAGTACCTAGAGATTATATATTTGATTCATGTATTTTAGGTATTCAATTTTTCGTGTGTTTTATATCGGGACGACCGTCAGCATCTCTTCTTCCCTTCAAGGGATGTATTCTAGGATTTCAGGTGGTGCTCCGGTTGTATCTTAGTCTCCATGTGGTGTTTATCCTTCTACAACTTCTCACATCCCTCTTGCTTCGTTGCCCCGCACTCCTTGTTGTAGGCCAACATAACGACAGCCTTTTGTTTTTTTCCTACAATTTATTCGTTGTGCAGCAATTCTCCTCGCTGCCCCCGCCCAGGACAATCCTGCTTTTGCTATATGGCAGTTTATCGCATTCCCCATCGTCATTCCAGCTCGCCATCCTTGTTGTCATTGTTGTTCCATCCCTTCCCATTTGCTGCCATTGTTGTTCCAGCCTTCCATGCAGGATATCATCGTTATTTCAAACCTCCATCTTCAATGTCTATTTCAGTCCTCTCACTTTGTTGTCATCATCCCGGATAGTTGTACCACATCGATATCTATCTTGTGCTTGATGTTTGGAACACGGGAAGTCGTTGTCTTGTTGTTTTCAGCTTGCCAACCACCTCTTACACCATCCCACCACCTTTCAAACCCCCTGTCGATCACCACCACAACCCCGAGATCCACACTAATTGAGTGTTTGAGTCGTGTTTATTGTCATTTCAGATTTTCAACTTTTGTGTTGTTGTATTTTACCTTTCAAGTGGTTGAAACAGTTTTTTTTTATTTTCAGTAATAACATTTATTTTTCCTATTATTATTTGGGTTTACGCTGGTATACCTCTTCTCCACATTATTTAAATGTTTGTGCACATTAGCTTTTTTTTTGGCATGTGAGATTAAAAAAGCTAAGGACTATTTTGTTGCAAGTAATAAGGATACATGCATATTCCAAATGAAGCGAAAATTAAATAAACCAAATTAGATTACTTCAGATTATTTAGTTGGTTGTAAAAAAAACCATAGAATTATTTTTTAGTTTTGATTTATTGTAAAATAAAATATTTTACATATTGATTAATGACTTGGGCATAGTGGGGATGGAGTCTCAAAGATAGAGAAGACAATACCATGAGGATGATGGAATGGAGACAGTGGCGTGGGATCTTGAATTGGGGTCAATATCAAATTCTAGGCACAAAGAAAATGACACAAGCTAGCCAATGCATGGGATAGCAGTACATCGTAGGATTGCCATCAATGATGGCTATCAAAGATGGCATATACAGCCCCAATTTATAGGATTTTGCTTTCAAAATTCACTCAATTTATGAGAATTTAGAATTCTTCAAGGATGATGGGGTTTTGCAATCAAAATTCACTCAATTTATGAGAATATAAAATTGTTCAAAAACAGTCATTCTTGGAAATTATAAATCCCATATAAGAAAAAATTTGCATTTGCTTTACTTCAAACCAAATACCTAAATAATCAAAATTCATGTAAGTCTTTTAATTGTCACCCTAAAACTCGGCCCCTGAAGCAATCAAGATCAATCCTCACTCTCAACTTAATTTCCCAAGCGCAACAACACATACTAGCACAATTACCCATACTTCTCTCTTTACAATGGAAAAATTTTCAAATGGAATAAATGCATATACAAACTAACTATAAGAAACATATGTTGGTGCTATATGAATGTATCAAAAACAGAAACCAAGACACTAAATAAAAATATAATGGCCACAAATTCAAAAAAGAACATGAACCAGTATACCGAATTTGTACATTCATGCCCAAAAACATGGTCAAAACAGTATCTTTTCTCTTTAGTTCTGTTCTGAATTCTGTCAAGGTAATCCTTGGACAAGTCCGGATCCAAAACAACCACATTCTGCAACAAGAAAAAGGAGAATCAATCCCCGTAATCAACTCTAAACTGCCTAAAATCATTAAAAAACTTTCAACAGTTCGGTGCTCTTCCCACCTTATCATCAAAAACCTGAATAATACTCCTACTTCTGCGCCGTTCTGCTTCAGTCAATGGCCTGCATTTGACAGCCACCTATCACCAACAGAAAAACATCAGCCAAAATGCTCCCAACCTCAGCATCCTACATGAACATCCAAAAAAAACTAACCAGCAAGGTCGCAGTTTTCTTGGAAGCAGGAGCTCTAATACTCGGCATCCTAATCAAGCAACAAATCCCAGCAACCAAATTCCACAGCTCAAATCACATTCAACAGCTCAAATCACAACAAACAAACAGTCCACTACATTTCTACTCCCACCACTCCGCCCCTCCCCGTCTACATTCACCCACAGTAGAATCCATTCCAGCAGAACCCAAAGAATGCTCCAAAACCCTAAATATCTCATCAAGCTCCGAACCCACATTCTCCAGACCCACCAAACAGTCAAAATCCCCACCTCCCGCCACCTCCAAACCTATCAGAAATCAGAAAACCCTAGTTCTAACTTCCAAATATCTACACATGGATGCGCAGCTTCACCTTCTCTCCATTTCTAAATTCCAAAAAGCAATTCATTCCACTCCATGAGGATGAGATAGCGAACGAATAACAACGCCGGAATTGTCGCGGTGGCCGGCGATTACTTAAAAATGTCGGCGAGCGTGAATGCTTTATTTACAGTGGTGTAACTTGAGGATGAGATAGCGAACGAATAACAACGCCGGAAGAGTCGCGGTGGCCGGCGACTCCTGCGGCGATTACTTAAAAATGTCGGCGAACGTGAATGCGTGATTTGTAGGGATGTAACTAGTGGTGTAACTAAAAAAATGCCACTGTAGTTTACTTAAATTACGAGATATGCCATTCATAATGGCAGTTTGGTAGATCTGCTGCTCTGCTGCAATTTATGCAATTAATTCCGTTAAAGAGATATAGAGCCGTCCTTTAATTGAATTTATTCGGTTTTGTAGGACTATTATGTAAATTACCCGAACGAATCACTAACTGAATTTATTTAATCCGCGGTTCACTACATTTATGTTAATGGTTAAATTAAATTCAAAATAAATTGGGGGCATTTATCTGAAATTTTTTATTTTTTATATCTATAATTACAAATCTTTTATATTACAATAAAAAAATATCATTATAACTGATTTTTTTAAAACATTTTAATATAACTTTTTTATGTATAAATTAAATATTATAGATGTTTAATATTTTTTAATCGTCAGATCTCAAATCGTTCGTGAGCCCACAGCTCCTATGTTGGACTTGTAAAGAAAGCAAAAGGGGAAGGAATGAAGGATCAGTTCATAAAGAGCTTAACTCGGCCCTTTACGCAGAAGACCATCTCTATTTATAGGGCTCAAGATGATCTCTTATTTATGATGGGTTACAAAATATATATATATATATATATTAAAAGATTGTAGTTGTCCATGTAGCATGTCGATGATATATTGTGATAATATATATGTCAGACGACTTTTAATTAGACGATAACACTATGGGTATGACAATGAGAATCTGCTAAGGGGCACTTGCCTTTTAAGTTTGATAGACGTTTAATTAGACGATAACAATATGGGTATGACAATGAGAATCTGCTAAGGGGTACTTGCCTTTTAAGTTTGACAGACGAATCTGACAGTTGGTACACTACGAATGAGTTCAACAGGTCAACATGCCAGTAGATTAAAAAAAAGAATTTCAAAACCCAAAAGATATGCTAATATGTTTCTAGGCTTATGATTATCGTTCATGCGTATATAATAGAAATTTTTCAATGCATGCATGATCCTTATGAATTAATACCTAAAGTTTTATAAATATAAATATGAAAATTTTGGTGCTAGATATATAAATACATAATGATTGTTTGGTAAGAGCATGAACTATTTTCTAAACACTATAGGTTTAATGCGTGCTTATTTTTTAATCATTAAGCATAATAAAAAATTAAGTATGTTTAGTACTTGTTAAACTAGGTGTCTCTGTCCTATGGCCTCTAGAGATTCCCACATATTTAGTTGTCGGCAAACTATGAACTACTAGTATTAATTAGGTATTAAAAATCGGATTAGATCTAATCATGTTTAAGCTCATTATCTTCATCAAATTTAGTCAGCTGTTTAGAAAAAAAAAATTATTACTCCGGATGCATACAAACTCCGTGCATAACAATGTTGTAAAATCGGATTAGATCTAATCATGAACTTCATACGTAATATTCTCTCGTTGTTTAGAATTTCATTGATGGATCAATTTGGATATGAAGTTGAAGGGTCTATTTATGACAGTTACAGCTTATTAAAAAATAATTGTAAACCTGTTACAAAATAATCTGATGTTTAAAAAGCTTCAGTGGCAACTACAAATTTATTTTTCTAAAAAAGTCATACAACTTGAAAGTTGCCACCGCATCTAATCATGACCTGTTAGAAAAAACAGATTTCACCTCAAAAAGCTGTCAAAATGAAATTTATCCAAACAGACAAAACTATTGTATGATGACTCACCGCCACGGATGCATACAAACTCCGTGCATAACAATGTTGTATCATTTCATACAATATTGAACAATAATGTTGTATATCCAAACTTCATACTATATAGATGTCAGACGACTTTTAATTAGACGATAACAATATGGGTATGACAATGAGAATCTGCTAAGGGGTACTTGCCTTTTAAGTTTGACAGACGAATCTGACAGTTGGTACACTACGAATGAGTTCAACAGGTCAACATGCCAGTAGATTAAAAAAAAGAATTTCAAAACCCAAAAGATATGCTAATATGTTTCTAGGCTTATGATTATCGTTCATGCGTATATAATAGAAATTTTTCAATGCATGCATGATCCTTATGAATTAATACCTAAAGTTTTATAAATATAAATATGAAAATTTTGGTGCTAGATATATAAATACATAATGATTGTTTGGTAAGAGCATGAACTATTTTCTAAACACTATAGGTTTAATGCGTGCTTATTTTTTAATCATTAAGCATAATAAAAAATTAAGCATGTTTAGTACTTGTTAAACTAGGTGTCTCTGTCCTATGGCCTCTAGAGATTCCCACATATTTAGTTGTCGGCAAACTATGAACTACTAGTATTAATTAGGTATTAAAAATCGGATTAGATCTAATCATGTTTAAGCTCATTATCTTCATCAAATTTAGTCAGCTGTTTAGAAAAAAAAAATTATTACTCCGGATGCATACAAACTCCGTGCATAACAATGTTGTAAAATCGGATTAGATCTAATCATGAACTTCATACGTAATATTCTCTCGTTGTTTAGAATTTCATTGATGGATCAATTTGGATATGAAGTTGAAGGGTCTATTTATGACAGTTACAGCTTATTAAAAAATAATTGTAAACCTGTTACAAAATAATCTGATGTTTAAAAAGCTTCAGTGGCAACTACAAATTTATTTTTCTAAAAAAGTCATACAACTTGAAAGTTGCCACCGCATCTAATCATGACCTGTTAGAAAAAACAGATTTCACCTCAAAAAGCTGTCAAAATGAAATTTATCCAAACAGACAAAACTATTGTATGATGACTCACCGCCACACCAAGCGGACCCGAAATTCTCATTTTAAGAAATACTTTGAGGTTTATAAAATTTAAAGTAGTATTAATATTTAATTGCTTTTAAGAAAATGACTATTTATTTAATTAATTTTCTTTTTCAAATATCTTTATAAAAAGGAGAAACAAACTTTTTAGATTTTTCAAACATATTCATCAATCTCTATTTTTTATATCTAAAATGTAAATTTAATATATTCTTAAAAATCATATATGTTTTATATATATTTAAGAAATCAATGTTTTTAAATTTATTCGAGACAAATCAACTACAACCTTGTGCAAATACAATAGAATAGTTTTGTTGTATTATTTATAAATATCATAGATAATTCTGGTAGATGAATTAGTAAAATAAACGAACATTTATTATATTTACGAATTGTGTCCTCTGCATGCAAACGCCCCCAAAAGTTAAATTCCATGCAGAAATTTTTTAAATATGAAAATAGTAATAATAATGATAAAATCTGGTAATGTTTTGTAGAAATAAATGCACATTGGGCTCCCCTATGAAAGAGGGAAAGCCCGCATTCCCCTGCCGACTGGGGCAGGCCTAGCAGCCATTGTAGCCCACTTTCCCTTTTTGGGTATTTTTTGGCCTGAGGCCAACATGATAAATAAAGTGCATGTAGCAGAAACACATTATGTAGATGCTTAACAGCTGCCTACGTATAGCACCTTGGGGGCCACATATTTAGCAGGAAGGAGCACATTTTTTTAATTATGTATTGTCAAAGATTTGATAGGCATGCATATGAAAATGAAATATTAAATGGGTAGATATATAAATATAAAATAATTGTGTGGCATGTATGTAAAGGGACCAGCATGTAAACAAAAACAGTCAATACATGATATGACGAAATGCAGTTTGATTTATTTATATTTATAATATTTGAGAGCTGGAGTATGGAGTATGTTCAGAAGAGCAATTTTCAGAAAAGTACAGAACAAATGGGGTAATAATGGCGGCAGAGAGTTAGATCTCTAAAGCCAGAGTTTTTTTGAGTCCCAGTCGCAGTAAAAATAGAGCCTTTTTTAAGGTTTCAGCAATTATTCGGAGAAGATCCAGAATCAGCACATCTTCCCCTAAATTTGGAAATATATGAAAGCTACTGGAAATGAATAATAGCTTTCAGAATGTTTATTGGTTGCTGTTTGTGTCCTCTGTGACAGCACCATTCCCGCCGTCTAAAACAAGAGAAAAATAAATAAATAAATTAATATACATGCCGTCTAAAACAAGAGAAAAATAAATAAATAAATAAATAAATATACAAAAAATGAAATTGGTATATTTTATGTTAAGACGACCCAAATCATTTCAAGATTATGTCCGGTGGCATACATGTAAAAATTGAGGTTTAGATTGTTGGATATATAAATACATGATAATTGAATGGAGTGGAATGTGTGTGAATCTTCCTTCATGTTTAGTTGAGATGGAGCTATTTTATTACACATCCATTAATTTCATATATCACACATTATCTCTCAATAAAACTAATTCGTTAGATCACATATATTAACTAGGGCTGTCAAAAAAAGCACGTTGTTCTCGAACAGCTCACATTCAACTCGTTAAGTAAACGAGCTGAACATGAACAACCATTTGTTATATCATGCCCGGCTCATTTTAGCTCGAAATAAAGAAATTATATATATATTATTCATAGCATAATATATTATAGATATTTGTATCAAAATTTAAATCAAAACAGCTCGTGTGATCATGTGGTTCTGCTTCTTCTAGTGCACAGAGTTGATGCAGCTTCAAATTCAAACCCCTACATCTATATTTTAAATTAATTTAAATGAGCCAATTTTGAGCCGAACGCGGACAAAACATGTAAATCGAGTCGAACACAAACACATTGTTCACAAGCTAATTTTGAATGAGCTGAACACGAGTCAATACTGAGCTCGATCAAGCTCAGCTAATTTACAGCCCTAGATAGAACTGACTGATTTGATAAATGATTATGCTTGTGAATGTCAAGTAATTTAAATTATATAGGTTATAATGCCTAATAAATTAGTTATATTGAGAAGTATGGCTAATAAAAATAGCTCCATCGACTTAAAAAATCATATCAGGAAAGCCTAAGATGATTTTTGTATTAAAAATTATAGGATAGAATCGTTACCTTCGCTATCAGTTGATGCATAAACGGATCTCCTTGAGCGTGATTGCTGCTGAGGTGAGGGCTACAAAACCAAAATAAAAGGGAAAACATGAAACATTAAATAACAAAAATAATTGATGATATATATAGACCTTCAGGAGAAAATGTGCCGAGACATAACCAAAATTGAATATGAGAGATCAGTTGATGCATAAAAGGATCTACTTGAGCGTGATTGCTGCTGAGGTGAGGGCTACAAAACCAAAATAAAAGGGAAAACATGAAACATTAAATAACAAAAATAATTGATGATATATATAGACCTACAGGAGAAAATGTGCCGAGAAATTATCGCTATCCACATAATCAAAATTGAATATGAGAGAAATGTTAAATCGAAGCCCCGCAAATATGAGGGTGAAAACATGGAACAGCAAAGGAGCATTGAGAATTCATTTCAAATTTCCTCTTCCAACATAAATTTCTTAGGACATGGCCTAAGGACAAGGAACATGACTGAAAATGTTAGGGATGATAAATGTTAAGATGTACATGCATACCGCTCAATTCCCATGTATTTACATATCTAACACCTAAACCTTAATTTTTATATTTACACAACCTTTCTTATGCATGAAAAGTTGTATTGCACTTTTTAAAAGTTGAAAAGGTGTTATTTTTTATGTGACATGAAAGGCTTAGATGGTATAAATGCGAAAAAGTAAAGTTCAGGTGTTAGATGTGTGAATAGATCGAAATTTGATGCTATGTCTGTAAATGACCAAAAATGTAATGGGTAGATCAAAATTAGATTAGTGGAGTTTTGTGAGTTAATTGGTTTATAGGTAAGTGATGGATATGGGTTATTTTATGAGTCTTTAAGAGTCGTGTATTTTTTTATACGAAATATATATTTGGAGGCACAAAGATATAAATGAAAAAACGAGGTACGCCTCCCCAAACATATGTTAATAGTCTCCCTCACCTAGTTTCTAGAGTCGCTAGGACAAATCTGCGTTATGCCCATGGTGGAAATTGCACCCGTTGAAATTTAAGATCATCCTCATTAAATTAAATAAAGGAAATTTACATAGAAAGCACCCAATTCTTATGCATTTACTTGTCTCATATCTAAACTTTGATTTTTACAGACTAAGCACCTTTTCCTATGTTTGAAAAGATGTATGGAAAGGTGGATTATACTTTTTCCTATAGATAGGGTGCTTAGCTTGTAAAAACTAAAGTTTGAGTGCGAGATAAGTAAATGCATAAGAATTGGGTGCTTACAATGTAAAAACACTGTAAAATAATCATGTAATCCCCCTTCCCTCTCATTAAATTCTTTTTCTCAGTATTTAAGAAAAAAATTAAAACATTAACAAAAGAAGTATTTAACTTAATTCTCAATGAAATATTGGCTAATTCCGCCCCTACTCTTATGCCATAAAAAAACTTCAGTGCAGCCTTCTGTAATTAACATTAATCCAACCAAGGATCAAAATGATTCAATACATAGCAAGAAGATATAGAGGAAATAAATCATCATTTTGAAATTACATAAATACAAAAACAAGAGGTGATTAAAAATAATATTATTATCAGTGAAGCTTTTAAAATATGATGTAAATTACACCACAAATACCTGCAGTTTTGGCCTGAGTGCCTCAAGTGGTCCTTTAGGCTTGCTTACACCTCCTTGCTGCAAGATAACATGTGAAATCCATAATTAGACTATATTTTATCAAGATATGCTGAATTACTTTTTTTTTTTTGAATAAAAATTTAAATAACATCAAAATATTCCCTAAAAATTAGGAGATATTTCTCTAAGATCCAAGGAAATCAGAAAAGCATTCCATAAAAATTTGGAATAATTTTGAATTAATTCAAAATTTTCATGAATTTTAATTAGATTTTAAATAAATATTTAGAATAATATTAAAATAATCTTGAATTATGAGATTATTATAAAAATAATCAAAAAAATGCAGTACCTTGCCTAACGCCCAATCAGCAGAATCAAAGAAAGCGCGCTCGTGGTCCTGCAGAAAACAATTATTTTGTGGAATAGAAATGATAGTAAAAAACACCATTAAAAATGAAATGATTCATTATCGTTGCAAAAAAAAGTTGACCACCTTTGAAATGAGCGGAGGCTTTTTGGGAATAATTCCTCCGTACTTCTTTTTAACTGCCTCTTCCTTCAAAATATTAAAATAAAAGGATCAGTTCGAACCAGCTCCCATATAATCTTCATCATAGAGAAAAATAAACAAGGAAGATTTACATTCACAAGCTAACGCTACGCTTTACCTATGCATGCACTATTTAAAAGTTAAAATAGTGATATTTTTTTTATGTGAAGAAAAAGATTTGGGTCGTATAAATATAAAAAGTAAAGCTTAGGTATTCCAAAAGTTAATACATAGGAATTAGGTGGTATTTATATAAATGCCCCGATAAATAAACAAAGAGAAATAGAGATTGCTCCTCGCCTAATGTAAATTTCCCATAAAACTATTTATCACAACATGCGAGTGATAACAGATAGTGAATTTAGTAGAAAATTACCTCATCTTGGGCTGATGGCATGGAAATATCCACATTTTCAACAACATTGGAATCAGCGTCTTCCATGGCTGACATCTTATTCCTACAGATCATAGGTTCCACCAAAACATTAGGTGTAAGTTTCTGCACTTTTATAAAACCATTAACATGAAATGCCTAACAGGTTTCAGAAAGTCGGCAACAAGTATCTGAAGAATGGCTGGTGAGAACAGTATGAATGATAAAATGTTTTGGAAAAAAAAAAAAAAAAATTCAATGAATATCAACGGAAATAAATAAGGGCATTTACATACATACCATCCAATTCCTATGTATTTACATCTTAACACGTAAACTTTACCTTTTACATGTATACCACCCAAATCTTTCATATCACATAAAAAAATAAAGCAAAATGCACCCTTTCATGCATAAATAAGCTGGCATATATGTAAAAATTGAAGTATATGTGTTAGATATGTAAATACATGGGAATTGAGTCGTGCATATGTAAAACTTCCAAAAAAAAAAATGCAGTCACTTTAAAACAGTTGTTTAAGAGTCTAGCCAGCCTTAACTCAATAACAGTAGAGAGACATTCGGAAATATTAGAAAATAATACAAGAGCTCTAATATCTCCACAAATCATAAAATTCTTGTGATGCTTACGGTGACGGGATCAAAATAGCGAAAAATAACCTTCAGGTGTGTGACATTGCAGAGCAATATACCATTAGGCAAGGAGCAATGTCATTGCTCTGCCATTTTACAAAGGGAATTAAGTCATGTGAATCAACATACCATTTTGAAATCAATATAACATTTTAGAATCAATATACCATTTTGAAAATGGCAGAGCAACGTCACACCTTCAGGTGTGTTCTGCACACAATACTGAAGACAAAAAGATCAAAGCTACCATTTCTGTTTCAAATGACAGATCCCCTGATCGCAATAATAATTATTACAAATTTACATTTGAAAAGAACTGGTCTTTTTTTCTACAATGCTTTTTTTCCAGTGCACCAATAAATTGATGTGGCCAATCACCATTTCATCTTCAGATTCTCATAGCAAAACAATTTTTCAGGCCGTTTGGGATCACTTCTACATTTTCTTTTCATTTTTTCCCATTTTATTTTGTTTTGTTTATGTTTTGATTTGAAACAAAATATATTTGGTTGCTACGATTACTTTTAAAAACACTCAAACACAAAATTTGTTTTGAGTATTTTTAAAAACAAGTTGATTTGATTTTAAACATAATAACAACATGCGACAAATAAAGTGACAGTGATAGGGGCCATTTGGGAGCACATCTGACTTTGTTGCTCAAGCTCGGCTCATTTACAGCCCTATTTCTACTTGACCTTATAACATGTTTAGATACTTTTAAAATCACTAAAAAACAACTTTCATATGATTTGAATGTTTTGAAAACAAGATAATTTAGTTTTAGAAATAAAAAAATGTATTAAACAAACATGTTTTTAAAATAAAGGCAAAAATAAAAACAAAAAACCAAAGCAAAAAATAAAAACAAAAAACCTAAAACATCCCAAAAAAATCCTAAATAAACATGCTTTTTTTAATAAAAGAAAAAAAACAGAATATATATTGATGCCAAACATGTTTTATTTTATAAGTTGTAGAGGCTCTCTAGAAAGAAACACGAAGAGTTTTCTCTTTTTGATTCATTAATTATTTGGGGCATTTACATACATACCACACGATGCCTATGTATTTACATCTCCAACACCTAAAAATTCATATTTACATACATAACACTCAACTCCTCAAAATCACATCAAAATTACCATCATCACTATAATTTAAAAAAATGAAATACAACTTGCCATGTGTAAGGTTTATGACAATAGTGTTGTGAGTGTAAATAGTTTGGGTGTTAGATATGTAAATACTAAAAAATTGTGTGGTATGTACATAAATTTTGCAAAATATTTACTAACATTTAAAATTATTTTTTTGCCCGCTAAGTTCCTTGAGCTATGCCATGCAAATAAGCATATAATTCCTCATGAGAAAGGCACCCAAGACCAGGGCAGTGGCTTGGCTATGCATGGAAGACCAAGGAGCAAACTGATAGGACCCCCAAGGTCTTTCATGAATACTAGGACAGAATAAAATATTTTGAAAAATGATTCATGTAGATAACCCCACTTAGTGGGACAAAGGCTTGTTGTAATAATCTCAAGAAACACAACTCAAATATAAAAAAAATAAGCACCTACAATTTAGAGATGGGCGATCTCCCCCAAACACCAACCCTACGACCCAAAGGCAACAATAGCAAGCATAACTTAACCCTAAATATAATAAGCCATATTTATGTCAAACAATAATAGTTAAAAAATTGACTAAATTGCCCTTTTAGCCTTGCGTCTAAAATAAGTTTTCAATTAATTGGCAGGCTTGGCATGGCGGAAAGCGACGTCATTGCCAATCTAACACAAACTGAGAGTGGCCGCTGTGCCCAGCCACAACAATGGAAGGTTTAGTTCCACTAGAAAAAAGAAATCAAATAAACAAAGAAGTCCCCTTGGGAAGTTTACGGCTGAGGAAAGCTAATGCAAGACAAATCTTTTTAGAGGTACCAAGTAACACTAACCATGACGAAGATTGATTAGCATTTAGTTTAGTGCTGATAAAAAAAGAAAGGGAAATTTTCATACATACCACAAAATTCTTATGTAGTATTTTTATGTGATGTCAATGATTGGAGAAGCTTGTAGAAATGAATGTGCGTGTGCTAGATGTGTAAATACAAAAGAATTGTGTGTTATGTATGTAAATGCCCAAAAATAAAATCAACTTGACAAAGGAACTAGGTATCCCTGCAAGACAAACCATTGCCAAAAAAAACAAACTCTTAATGTAAGTTGTTCAGTTTGGGCCAAAAAAAAATAATCTACTTAAGACGGAGTCTTCATAAGCGAATCTTTCCATATAATGCACAAGGTTGAATTTAAATATACATGTCTGAATTGTTATACAAATATACCAAGCCTACAAAAATATACAACATTTATAGGCTTTGATAAATTAATTGATTGGGCTTCCATCAGAAATAATATGAAAAATCTCTTGATACATGAACTTTTATCAAACAATATAACAAATATCACAAGCTTCTATTGAATACTTTAATTTGGTCATCATTTCATATAACAAATTTTATTAGTTGCTCAAGTATCTACATACATCCTCCAATTATCATCCATTTTAGCTGCAAGTAGAGCATGTACAATACAAGCATTCATGCATTTTTTTCACTAATAACCCCTTATAAATTTCAACCAATAAGTTCAAAATAATTTGTGAGATTCAGCAAATAAAAAGATAAATAAGACAAGGTAAATAAGACGGAGATGGTCGAGGAATTAAAACAATAGCAGAATGCATATTCCTCGGCGCAGATAATTCATTGGAAATTTTATCAAGATAAATACATTTAAAATGAACCAAAAGTTGATTGAATCATCAAGCAAAACTATAATTGCAAGCATTGCATTACTCAAGTCTACATATATCAATACATAGATCACTGTTTCTTCCATATTTATTTTTCTCAAATGCATGCATACCCAGCATATGCAAAAACATTTCACTTCACTGAGAGGCACTGAATTCTTCTATACTCTTAGGCTTTGAAGGTTTCAAACTATCACTCCCCCATTAGTCATGAAAGAATGTGATAGACATCCCATAAGATAAAACATGTAATAGTACTGCCAAAATTTACCCAAAATATATAAGCAAGATTCTATCACTATAAGCAGTCATTGAATCATAACAAACACCTCCAAGACAATAAAATAGTAGATTTATTTAACCAAGCTATCTTATATGGTTGTGAATGCGATTCAACTTTTAAATTCATGTGATATAGGATAAATTAAATCAAAAAATTAAACAAACACTATCAATTATAAACTTGCAAAGTTTCTCATATATTAAATAGATTTGAAAAATTATAGTTATCTTCCAAACAGAGTCAAATTTGAGAGTAGCTATAATGCAACACATTATAATCAAAGAATTAGAATATATTTGGTGCAACTGCAGCTTATTAAAAAATTATTGCGCAGAAGCTACCGTAGATAAACTGATTGTTTGTTTATTTTTTTCAGTTTTGAAACAGATATGTTGCAGTTGTTTCAAAACAAATGTCATCTCTGCCCATGTATTACACTGTCGTTTATAACAAAAATATTCATACAAACACATTTCATATTTGAAAGCAAATATCAAGTATGAGTATTACAAAATAAAATCAGACACCTCACAAAAATGTAACACGACAATCAAAATTAAAAAATGACTATTCAAATAATAATTAATAATATGATAATATTATTTTTAAAATGTAATTGGTTTATTTACCGAGATAAGTCGTCCTCCAAGGAAACTCGGCACGCCTAATCACTATCGGCAATCAATTCCTCCAACCCAATTAATAATATGATAATATTATTTTTAAAATGTAACTGGTTTATTTACCGAGATAAATCGTCCTCCAAGGAAACTCGGCACGCCTGATCACTATCGGCAATCAATTCCTCCAACCAATCTGTTCGACTAAAGAAGTAATAGATTTTTATTCTTCTTCTTGGACACCCGTAAAACTATCTCTCGTAGTTATGTGAATATTGCAAAGTAATAAAAAGTACGATAAAAAACAAATATCCAAAATAGCATTTGACAGTGTGCCAAAAAAAGACATAAATTGTCCAACTTGAAAAAAAAAAGAAATTCAAAGGACCCTTTTGTCATGAAAATAACGTATATAAGAGACCCTAAGATCAGGTTTTATCTTGATAAAGAACTCTCTCCGGATCGGGGCTTCAAGCAACTTCAGAGAGAACAAATATAACGTCATGTCCTCGTAAATCTCTGGAGTTGCCTCCAGAATTCGCAAAACTTGTTGAATGGAAGTTTCCTCAACCCTCGGCAGCTTTGATCGATCGGTGGATTCAACTTCATTGAGGTTCGAACAAGGGCTTTCACTGAAGTCTGTTGTTTGTTCGGCATTCAAGTGCTCAAATATGTTAACAAACGCTTGCTCGCTAGGGGTCAATGCATGATTGTTAGTTGTCATAACTCCACCAAACATACAATCTAATTTATCTTCCAGTTTAGGCTCAATTCCATTTAATTTAATTTTTTTCACAGTTGGCACCATCTACAAAATAATGAAAGATTAATATGTTGATGCTTATGAAAAAATAAAAAATTGATTGAAGGAGTGGATGTTTCATAAATTCTTACCTTTAATCTCTCGGCCCACCGTTCTTCTGAAGCATCAATTATTCGCTTTATTGGATCCCAACCCAAGACTGTGGATCCTCGCTTCAATTCTTTCCAAATTTTTCAGTCCTTTTTCAATCGATACCATTTGTGTTTCAATTGCATCCTATCGTATTCCCTTTCTATACTTTCTCTCGGTTTTTTTATAATATTTTGTCAGCCCTCCTTGTTAAAATAGGTTGTTCGCCTATTTCCCAATTCAACCTCCTTGAGACAGATGTCACAAAATATTATTTTGGTATCATTATCCCACATAGCAGAAGAACCAATTTTTTTAATCTTAGTCATTGTATTACTAGCATGAAAAGAACTAATCATCATAAATATCTATCATAATAAATATAAAGGGTCGTTTAAGAGTCTACAAATCAAAGAAAATAAGCATTAACAATGAACATAAAAGAATTACCAACACCCCACCACACCACCACCAACACATATTCAACCAACACACCAGCACACAACCACGAGCAAAACAATCACCAACACACATACAAACAACACGAAACCACCACCACCAACAGAACACCACAAACACAGCACTACCAACACAACACCACCGACACACAATGACCACCACCACCAACCCACCACTACCACACCATCACAAGCATCACATCATCACAACGACCACCATCGCAGAACCATCAACGCAAAGAGAAAAGAGCCGCATGAACCTAACCACAAAATAACTTTCAAATTTCACATAAAAAGAATATGCAATCTAGTCTTTTCCTCTCCCTTTATTCAATATTTCATAGAATGAAACCCGAACTGCAAAACATGGCAACAGCTACAATGAACCAAAAATCACAAAGAGTGAAGAAGCAAAACCGTAAGAACTCCTATACTTCCAAGTGTTTCAATAAAATTTAAATGCAATATGGTATTTTTCCATTAATTTCTCTCTCATTTTCTCCATAGAGTCATAAAACCAAGCCACAAAAGACAATCACAAAGCTAAGCCATAAACCACAAAAAACCAAGCCGCAAACAACAATCAAAGAGCTAAGCCATTCCTCAGAAAAATCAAGATTGCAATTGAAAGATTCATAAAAACCATTTTACCGCAAAGAAAGCCAAAAAACGCAGATATATATCCTCAACATCAACCACGAACCTCACAAGAAGAGATAACATAATGGGAAAGAGGGGTAAGAAGATATCAGAAGACAACAGAGAAGAGAGACTCGGAACCACTAGGCAGAAGTGAGTGCAAGGAGGAGAAAGGGGAGCAGAGCTCTGTGAGAACGTAACGCTAGGGTAGACGTGAATGCGGGGAACGAGAGGCAACCAAGTAAAAACAAAGCCAAAAAAAGCGGGTGGCGGGGTCAACTGATGGAATTTGAAAAGGCGGCATCTCTGTCTTGATATTAGATCTGAAACTAGAACTAAATTTGGAGAGTATACTTTCATAATCTTCAATGTTCTTGAAAGCAACGATAGTTCTTCAAATTTCTTCATAGGTCGAGTGACAGTTCTGGTCCCTTTCTTTGGTAATATAAACTCATCCAAAAAAACTATCATGATATGACAAAGGCGACTATTTCCCATTTAAAATTTCTTTTATTTCAACCTAGGTTGTCGTTAGCTCCCTTTCTAATCTCTTTGCTTTTGCATATTCATAAAATAATTTTTAAATCAAACAATTAATTTAATTTTTACAACTCACTCGTCATTCATTAGACATGGTTTGACATTCAAAAAAATTTCCAACATCAAATAAAAGGTCAATAAAAAATTTTTGAATCAATTTTACAATCACAGAACAAGTCTCTTAACTTCTTCGATTATAACATCATTTACGCAAAAAAAAAATGATGCTAATTGCTTTCATAACCATCCTTATTAAAAAGCTTAATTTCTTTTATCAAGATAATTCACCAGTATCATACTACAATTAATATTTAAATAAATTGATTTATCATTATATTTGGAGTCCATATAGGTTCACGCAAATAAACTTAATTGGCTTGTTAAAAGATTATCAATTATTATTATAACTAGACTAATGTTGTCATTAATTTGATTTTTCCTGTTTAGTAATTCAAAATTTTGATTTTTCAAATTTGTTAATATGACATTTCTTTCAAGACTTATTAAGTTAACTTGCTAATTAACCCCACTTCTAAGCAACATGTTGACACAGCATAAAGCATAATAACCCATGGAATACACTCAAAATTAGGGTTTCAAACACAACTAACGTGATTGTTATGCTAAAAAATATAGGATTCCCATATCACAAATTACAAATTAATCAAAACTAACTTTCTTTAAATAAAAATATATGCTAGTAGACTTTAAGTCAAATTAATACCAAAATAATAAAAATAACCAAATTTTCAAAAAGAAACCTGAGAGAAATAAAATCACCATGGAAATCAAACTAATTTCAACAAATTAAATTTATAAAGTGACATTTTTTTATTTCAATCAAGAGCACTAAACAATTTAATGCAAAATTATAGGACTAAAACAGAACAAAGAATGAATTTGCGAAAATTAAAATAAAAAGTTTCCCAATAGTAAAAAAAAACAACTCCTCTGAGACTTATGTAATCACACGTTTATTGCAATAGAATCAACCAGATATCGAACTTGAACTCATAGGATTTTAAATTAGACAAAATAAATTTTACTAAATGTAACTTTTTTTAACTACATAGCTTAGACTATTCATAGAATAGTCATAACTAGGCTAATAAATACGTTAGGTAAAAAATCAATTCAAAAAATAAAAGTTTTTAAATTACATTCCTTAAACGACTATTTATAAGATGCTCATAACTATGCTAATAAATGCAGTTGGTAAAGCAGTTCAAATTAATCCTAACTTTAAGTTTAAATTACTTTAAATTTCAATTCAATTAATCCAAATTGAATTTCCCAAAAGAAATAAATATTATCAAATTACATATAAAATTTCCAAGCAACAACAATAAAGTCATGGCATCACAATCTCACAGAAAAATATAGGATATGCAACATACTCAAACAGAAATCATAATAACAATGCCTAATTCCATGATGCATAAGTTCAAAGTTTGAGTAAGCATACAGCTAAAATGACACTGCCTGTGCATCATGGAGGTGGAAAACTGATAACATAAAATTCTGCCTCAAAACCGTACAAATCCACAAACCCACATATTCCACATCAAACTGTATAATCTCCAAGTTAAAATGGTAGGTTAAAAAAAGAATAACTATAATCCACGAAACTAAATCCAGCTAGATCGACATGATAGTCTTGAGTATTTAAATTTGAAATAGATTCTATTTGTACAATTAAGCACATTACTACATCCATGGCATGGAAAAATATTTCATGAATGGCTAGAATTTAGTTAGCACGCTGCCAACTCACGTGCATGAACAAAAAGCAACAAGTTTATGGTTAACGATTTTTTATGGATCGTGGAGCATTAGAAGGTTCAATTCTTGTAAACCCAAGCACCAACAGGTCTACTACATATATGTACATTGTTGATGAAAGCAGCTGTGGATGGGTACAATTTCTAAATTATAGTTTCAATGATAAAATTTTAGTAATAAATTTTACAAACACTTCCAATGTGCATAGAAAATCTGTTTTCCCGTTCAGATAACCTCCATAACCTAATATGTCTAACGGGTAAACAATACAAGCACAATCAAAACAAGCAAAGTCATAGAAAATTCAATAATCAATATGTCAACTATCAATAACATCTAAACAAGATTAAGAAAGGTTCCTTAAATGTAGAAGAGAACTAAGTCATTGAAACTTTGTTTTCAGGTCGTTTAGGTTGATTTGGGATAAGCTTTGAGAATGATAAATAGTGAGAAAAATGGTTGTTTTTGCAGGTTTTAGAAATACACTGTAGATTTATTGCATGCATGCTGCCCAATTCTAAGTTTTCACATATGTGATCCCTAATCTTCAAAGTTTACATTCATATCATTCAACTTTTAGTAACATAATACTTCTTTCAATAAAATGACATGTTTGAGAATAAAAAAAATTGGTTGTTATGAATTCAAATTATTTAAGAATTAAGAAGAAAATTTAAAAGTTTATATTAGAATTAAGTGCTAAATGTGTAAATGTA